TCTCTCTCTCTCTCTCTCTCTCTCTCTCTCTCTCTCTCTCTCTCTCTCTCTCTCTCTCTCTCTCAATTTGAATTATTTAAAACTATAAAAATAAAATTAGAGGTCTTGATTTGGTCCTCCCATGTTCTTGTCCTGCCTTTCAAAAGGTTAACATTATCAGTAGCAACTCGGCTGCTTCAAGAAAAATTGATATGATAATAATTTCCTTGGAACATATTTGCAGACAATGCTCTGGATTCGCGGTCATATATTTGCCTATCTTTAATTAGGAAAAAATCTAGGGCCAAAGAGGAACATGCAGATGTCTTTAGTTCTACTTAAACATATTGACTATAATTTAACTCTAATGTTTCAAAGACGTGAACCTTAAACTGAAAGAAAGTTGAAGCTTTAACCATTGCAAAACTAGGTGACTAATCAAAATTAATGATTTGATATTTGTGATAAATATTGACATTGTATATTATGTTGCAAATGCAGAATCATTCCCAAGTCTCTAGCACTAAGAGAGGTATTTACATATTGTTCAACTATATACATTTTACTATCACTATTAACGTTCTTAGAAAAATTCCCTAGAATAGACTAAAAAAGTGTTTGTCAGAAATATAGATTTTAAAAATAAAAATGATCAAAATAGATTTAAAGGTTTTATAAAAAAATAAGTAAATATACACTTATATCCTTTGGGTTAGCTAATTCTTAACCCTTTTGTTTAGAGTTGAAGAGTGGAATACTTTATATTTTTGTGATAAAAACTTTAAGAAGTATATTTGAGAAAATTGCCCAAGTTTTTATATGTTGTTTCTTTTTCTGTCGTCCAAATGAGTTTTTAATAATAATCAAAATATGAAGCACACCATAATTATGATTGCTGTGATGAAATTATATGTTATAGATAACCGGTGATTCAATTGGAGAAGTTATTACGGTATCGACTATGCATCAAAGGAAGGCTGAAATGGGTCGCCAAGCGGATGCCTTCATCGCACTTCCTGGTTTGGCTTTATTCTTTTCCGTATTTTAAATTTGTATATTGATAAATGATGTGTGTATTATCAAAAATCATTGAAGGTTAAAAAATGTGTGGTTTTATTTGATAAACAAAATATAGGGGGATATGGAACATGTGAAGAGTTGTTGGAAGTCATCACCTGGTCTCAACTTGGGATCCACACTAAACCGGTAATTAAATGCGTTTATAACTATAAGTATATCCAATGAGCAGATATTTTTGTTATGTATAAATTCCTTTATGTACAAATTTTAAGTACATCCAGTGTTGTCATGTGTGGAAATAGAATCTAAGCATATGGGTTCAAGGCACATAAGACACATACCGTATATAAGTCACATGGATAAATTTCTCAACTACGGTTATAATTAAAGAGGACCACAAAATCGTATCCTACTTACTCTGAGCTCCGTATCTAAGATTTTGAGAATTACAAACATTTCTTAAAATGTAACAAAATATTTTTTCCATAATTTGGAGATCTATACCTATGTATATAATCTCCAAAAGATCTAGGTTTCAAAACTAGTGTTTCACTAGCCTATATCAAAATCTGATCCTGTATTTAAAAATATCGGGAGCCAAGGTTACGTGCTAAATACTAATGCATATAAAAAATGCTTTAACAAAATGTAAACATTTACATCCACGAAGAGGCTTTTATGCAATGTAAAAGAATGGGAAAAGTTTGACTATACATTACAATAATAAAAATTATATAGATAATATGAAGTTGCAAAAAATGCAGGTGGGACTACTGAATGTGGATGGATTCTACGATTCACTATTGACGTTTATAGATAAGGCAGTGGATGAAGGTTTTGTCTCCTCGACCGCCCGCCGTATCATCGTCTCAGCCCCGACCGCTCCTCAGTTGCTCCAACTTCTTGAGGTTTACTTGTTTCTTTCATTAAAATGTGAATCCAAAAAGAGGATAATTACTAAATTAGTTAAATTTATGTTTGTGATTGTAGGAGTATGTTCCAAAGCACGACGACTTTGTGTCCAAAATGGCGTGGGACGATATTACGGACGCTGCCACATCTGAACGCGACTCGTATTAGATTTGTTCTTACATATTTTAGTATACTATCGTTTCTTGAATCTCATTTTTTCATTGGCCATTATTTAAAACATTGATTCGTGTATTTATGTATTGATCTCATATCAAATTTGAATTCTAATTGTTGAAACCGCAGATTTGTACATAACATATCTCTATAATAGTATTTGAAATGTCAGTTTCCTATGTTAATTCTTTACAATAGTTAAATACATTTAAGTATTAAGAATTACTAGAACTTGAACTCCATCCCGTGATGGTGTTTGATGTAACTTGTGTTCAACATAGATTCATAAACTGATGATTTTATAAAAAAAATATTTTTTTATGTTTTTTAATTTATATATAGAGTAGTATATATTATTTTATAATATAAATTTTCAATGATAATTTTTTATTTATACATAATATTATATTATAAATTTTCTAATTTGATGCGACTTTACTATTCATATAGTAACATGTTTTTGTTAATTTATTTTAATTACTAAAAATTAATTTTATGAATTATTTTTCTATGAATTATCCTTAATTTTATGATATTTTGTTTTCTTGAAAACTGAACTCTCAAAATTTTATATTTAACTAAATTAAATAAGGTAATACTATACTTAAAAATTATTTTATATACTATATACTCCCCCTGTTTCATTACAAGTGTCACTCTACAGCTGTGCACACAGATTAAGAAAACAATTAATTTTTACATATTTCCTATATAAAAACACAGTTACTCATACACCTAACCATATTTTAACCAATGGAAAAACAAATTACATAATAAAATTAATAAATTTTGCATTGAAAACCGAAAAAGACACTTATTTTGTAACACAAAAAATTCTCTACAATGACACTTAATATGAAACGGAGGGAGTAGTATACTCTCTATGTTCCTAAAAGATTCATATTCTAGTTATTTCACAATTTTTAATAAAACAATTTAATTTGCATAGTTTTTTTTTGTATTTATCTTCTTTCTATAATTTTAAACCAATAGAAAATCAATTAATGCAATTAAGTTTTTTGAAGTTTACAATTAGTTAACAAAACATGCATTGAAAATGTATAAAATGATTTTTTTAGAAACAAATTTCTAGAATATGTATCTTTAAGGAACATAGGTCGTATATTTTATTTTGTGTCTTTATATTCACCACAAAGAAAGAAAAAATCTTGCTACTAACTAATTTAAATTGACCTTTCATGTAATGGCAAAATCTGTAAATAAAAATATAAAAACTAATTTAATTTATTGTAAATGCAATAGCTAAATGTGCAAATAAAAGGAAATACTTAATATGCTATCAATGTGTCCAAATAATTTTCATTTATCATGTTATTCTTATTTCCAAACAGTACACTTTAGTTTTAATAATATAGATACCCAATTGTCATTACTACCACTTTTTCTAATTTTTCATTTTAGTAATAAAATTGCACTTATCTTTTAAATTTAAATTTCCTTTTTCGAAAAAAAAGAAATAATAAAGAGGGAAATTTTATAGAATATTATATTTGTATATATAATAAGAATTTTATTTTATTAGTTTATATCTTCACTAACCAACACAAATAACAAAAATAAATATCTATAAATTTTAAAAATAAAAATAATTAGATATTTTCCTAAAAATACTATTTTATTAATTATGTTTTTGATCAATGATTAAAAAATGTAAAAAATATAAACTGAACATCTGATATCATATTTACCAAACACATGCCTAATTAAGAAAAAAAATCAAATTATTGACTAATTATTTACTTAATTTTCATACAAATGTCTTCAAAATTATAAACAAGTTATTAACCAATTGACAGGATTTGGTTAATTATAAATATGCATTTATTTTAGATTATGTATATTAATGCAACTTCAACATTATATTTTTGTTCCCTATTTTTAAAAACCACATATATCAAATTTTGTAAGCTTTCGAAGATATCTTTATAACTCTAAGGGGATGAATCGAATAAAAATGAAGATAAGAAAATAGTAATCGAATAAAAATGAAGATAAGTCTACCATCTATACCGGGGTGTTGGTGCTTCTCAGATGGATCGTGGAAAGCAAATGAATTGTTTTCGGGACAAGGCTGGTATAGTACTACTCCAGGCTTTCATGGATTGATGGGGGCGAGAAACACGGGAGCGTCTCTCTCGCCGTTGCATTCGGAGATAGAAGCTCTAATTTGGGCTATGGAAAGTATGAAGAATTTGCGTCAATACTGGGTAACTTTTGCAATGGATTTTCTCCAGTTGGTGAAGATGGTTGCATCACCGGAGGATTGGCCGGCATTTAAAAATTATCTGGACATCATTAAGCTCCTCAAAGAAAGTTTCATCACGTCAGAGATCATCCATATTTCCAGATCACTAAATACAAGGGCGGACAGTCTAGCACGTAATGCCAGGAAGCAAATATCATTTGTTGTTCATATGGATGTCGAGTTAATAGTTTGGTTCACAGAGTCTGTTTAGACTCTGTTTTATGCTAATGACAAAAAAAAACGAAAAATAGTAATCTAGTTTTAACTTTATTAAAATAAAACAGAAAACCAATTTCAAATATTATATGTAACACAACATACCCAAAATGAAGACTTGAATTGATTCAAAATTTATACTTGAAATCAAATATTTAATTAACATGAATACATAGAGTAATTACGATTTTTAAAAAATAATTGGGTATCCGATCTATTAAAACAGATTCTTATTTTTATCTACTGATAAAAAGTCATTGGACCATTTCATTAGTAATTTTTAATACATTGAAATAATGAAATCAGTTATGCTATCACACATAAGAATATTCTACTTGTCAAAAAAAAAAAAAAGAATATTCTACTATATCACTATTTTTTCATATTTTACTTTAACAAAATCTAAAAAAATCTTTTGCTTATTAATTTTAAATAACTCATTAAATTTTTAATTATTAAAAAATATTAAAAATAAATACTATTTAAATTTTAAATAAAAATTAGTATTTTTATAATATATTATTTTAATTTATGAAGTAATAATATAAAAATTATAAAAAGTACAAAATTATATTGTTTAATGATATGATATTTTTTAGTTTACAGTTGATGTTTTATGTTTGTAAATTAAATAAAATAAACTTAGTTTATTTGAAATAAAAAATATTTAAAATAAAAAATATTTAAAATAAAAAATATTTAAAATAAATTTTCATCAATGAGGAATACTTAAAAAACAAAAATCCATTTTCATTAGAAAACATTAAAACTTAACAAAACGGGTTAAACATATAATTATTCTATTTTGATTCTTATATAAATATATTTATTTTAAATTTAAATAAAGGTATTAAATTACAAAATATTATATATTAATATATTTTGTTTCATTAAAAAAACTGGAGAAATTATAAATAATTATATATTAAATATAGAACAAAAAATATTAAGTTACTTAATATAAAACACCAAATTGTAATAATATATTTTATCAGATTTTCTTCAAATTAAATATAATTATAAAAATACAATATATCTGCGCGGAGGCGCAGGTTAAAATTTAATAGTTACATTAAGAAATTGTAACAATTGATGAAGTTCTGAACACTTCCGATTTGATTTATTTATGCAACTCTAATCACTCAAAATTTCAAATTCTTATAAGTTTATCCAAAATGACATATATCAAAAGTTTAAAATATTACATTTTTTAATGAAACTCTGACTTTATATTTTCTAGTTTTTCTTTTTGAAAATAACATATATCAAATTATAAAACGTGTATAAATATATGTACGATTTTAAGGGAATGAACCGGACTTAATGAAATTAAGAAAATAACAATTTAGTTTTAACTTCATGATTTTAATTTAAAAGAATAGATGGAGATCAACATACCATACATGAATCAATCCAAATTATTATACATGAAATCATATCTAATTAATTTGAGAACATTATGATAGTCAATACAATTTTTATTTATCTTCATAATATAAATTAGAATGACTTAAAACTTATAAACATATGTTTTATATATATATATATATATTCATTAACAGAATATAATGATATTTAATATAATTTATTTATTTGCATATTTGAAATAGAAATTATTACTTAAAATTTATAAACAATAAAAATAAATTTGAATAATTATAATTATTTAATTATTTTGTTGATATTTATACCAACATGAGCATGGGATAATCATCCAAGTTTTTTAAATAGATGAAGATCTGCCTTTCCAAAGCTTATTTTGTATTTTTTTTACCCAGAAGATAAAAGGTATATACAAAAAATCGGCTAACCAAATTAGGAATACATAATTTACATGAAAAACAGAAAATTTTATAGACGAAGATCTACCTTTCCAAAAGCTTATTTTCTATTGTTTTTAACAAGATTAACTAGATTTCGACCCGCACAACCGTGCGGATATTATAATACGAAAATATTTGAAATTATATAATAAAATTTATCAATAAATAAGTATAATTTGATTATGTATGTTATACAATTTTCTAATAATTTTTATGTGACTTATAATATTATTAATATAAATTTTATAAATTTGTATTTTTGTAACAATTTTTAAAAACATTATTATGTAAGATTACTAGTTTATATATTTTGTTTTATATATAAATTTGAAATCTATGTAAAAATTAATTAAGTTGGACTTACATAATACATAAACAAAATTTTGGGATATTGTTAAAAGTATTTTACATAATTTTAATTTTTTTTTATAAATTAAAAATGAATTAAAATTTTAATTATATTTTATGATAGTTGAAATTTTAATCAAATAATTTTTGAAACTATATCTTGAAAAAGATTCTAAAAGATTTTTAAAATATTTTGTTACAATTTTATTAAATCTATTTATTTATATTTCAAACAAAGATTAAAGATATGAAAAGATATTATAATGTTATGTAAAATTTTATAAAACTCTGAAGATGATCCAAACTAAAATATCACACATAAAGTGAGTCATGACTTCTCT